CGAGTATAATATCGCAACAGTCCCAGAGGATGAATAGCCTGAACAACCCCATGACTAACAGGAAGAAATTGGAGAAGCCCAAGAACTAGAGAGGTGTTAGCTCGAATAAGAAAATCGTATACAGAATTCCTCCTCTTGCTTTGTTTCATCTGAGTGGATGAGTTGCTTCATCCATTTGAAGAAACAAATCAATAAGAAAGAGCGGATTATGTATAATTTATAATTTTATTTGTTGAATAATCGAATGAAAAGGTGTTGTGTTCAACCAGCGTTTCATTGATCAATTGAAGATTTATTCTGATTCATATCCAGCTCTCCATGGCGTTCGTCACTGTTTCTTATTAACATCTTCAAATATGAATCTTGGCCTGAGAATTTGGAACCTCTTTCTGCTTGATAATGGATATAGGCTCGAGACCTTGTCGAATTGAACCTTAAAAGGGATTGAGCATGTTCAAGTTCATGCAATGTCTACCTAGTGATCGTGCACCTATGTACATAAATTCTTATTTTCCATACATATAAAATTTTGGCTTTATGAGTCATATTTGCAAATAGTTTTAGAATCACAACCCCTTTAAAATCTATGATTTAAGGTGCAACTAGCAGTAAGTACTGTAATAATGTATTAAATTTTTTCTAAATGGAATTTTCATCCATCTTAAGAAGACTCTATAAGTCTCCTTTGAATCCTTTGAAAAAAGATACATCACTGTTTTACACAAGGAAAATGAATGGTTTATGTTGGTTCTTCTGCATGGAAACCGTCTCGTTTCAGCTTGTGTAGAATAGCAGAAGCTAATTTCATGCGGAAGTTTATGGAGTTCAAGTGTTTCGATTAGATAATTTAGTTCTTGGAAAGGACTCTCCATCTCTTGCTTTGTCATACGTGTTAAAATTAGCTTGCCCAAAGTGATACCAAATCAATAGAGTGATAGTAAAACTATTCAATCTTCAAATTTTCTTCACATAAAATTCTTTAGAGCCCTTTCCAATTATATTTTCTGCATTGAGACTGAACTGATGTATGTACAATCCTATCAAGTTCCAGTGTTATTTTATTTGCTGTGGGAGATATTTCTTATTTCACTTGATACTGTTTTGTTTCTAAATTGTTTCACTACTTTGGATATTATAAAAAAATTCAGACTTTAGCTAAGCATGTATCATGGTTTCATTCATACTCTAATCTAGAGTGGTGATTTATGTTCTCTTTCAGGTGGTATAACGACATTGATTGATATGCCCCTCAACAGTTATCCTTCCACAGTGTCTGTAGAAACACTAAAACTCAAGGTGCATTTCTTATAAAGCTTATTTCTTACTGTTCGCTTTATATACAGAACTAATGAATACTTAATTTGTTGTTTGATGCTATTAGGTCGACGCAGCACATGAGAAAATATATGTCGATGTTGGTATTGTCTTGATCCTTAGTTTTTATTTATTTCTTGTATTTATATATTTGTAATACTCTAGTTAATGGCAGTATATTTGACTTGGAAATAATTAAAGGCCAAGGTTCCCCATACATAAAAATAAAAAGTAAAAAAACTACCATGAAACATACATTTTATGATGCAGGGTGCCAATTTACATCTACATTTGTTCTCATTTTACCTCCAAATACTTTAATGAGATCGTTCCAGACTTTATTGACATAATGAATTTCAAAATAGAGGCCTGTCCTTTTATTTAAGTATTTGCTTTGGCCTATTTTTTGTTTGAAGGTTTCTGGGGAGGTCTAGTGACTGTACTTAGAAATCTCATACATCATATATGCTATTGTGGATGAGAATTACTCATGTTCATATTCTTCTGGGCTTTCCTAGTCATATGCCAGTGGAGAGTAGTTCCTTCGCTGCACACCTGCAATTTGCATGTAACTGCAATTCTCTCTGAGTTTTTGCCTGTTAAACATCTTCAGGTTGACATTGATTTCGAAAAAGAACCAATTGGAACAGGAAAGGATGGGGAAAATGTATATTTCAATGACATATGGCGATGAATCTCTAGAGTTTTACTATGCTTCAATTTATTAATTATATGAGTTTATAACTTTTTTTTTTTTGTCTGCAGGTGTTAATGTTCAGAGCAGAGAGGAAGTGACAGTCAAGCTCGTATCTGATGACATTAAAGCTGTTTTTTTGGGGGGTCAATGATTCCCTATTTGAAATGATGTTCCTTGCGCATAGTATTAGGAAGTGCTTGTAGTTTGATTGTTTTGGACCAAGCTTGAAGTGGTTTGGGACGTAGTAGAGCCATTCAAGCTGGAACTTCCTCATGGGTTTGGGACGTAGTAGAGCAAATCAAGTATGAAAACACCCATATAGTAATTATCTAGACTAAGCTTAACTGCATTCTTGATGTATGAAATATGTATGTTTTTAAAGTAGATTATTGAGTTATACATGTGGATATAGATCTTTTATGAGATGTATAGGAGATTATCATATTATTTGTGCGGTTTGTTATTGTTGTGACGTTTGGATTGTGAAAATTTTGAATGTAGGGTGTTGATATATGCGAGATATTAGTTGTGAAATATGAAATTTGAATTTATATATGCAAGTTTCTTTAAATGTTATTGAAATTTGGATTGTAAAATTTTTGAATGTAGTGTATGGATGTATGCGAGATACTAGATATGGAAAGTGCACGAAATTTGTGAAATTTGAATGTACGCGAGATGGTTGTGGAGATTGTTGTGAAATTTGGATTGCATATATTTCGAATGTAGTGTAGGGATTGTATACAGTAAATTTTGCATAAAATCAAAATATTTTTTTTGGTGATTATATAACATCCCTGACGGGCTTGCCGTCAAGGATGTTTATCCCTGACGGCATTCCCGTCGGGGATGTGCATAACATCCCTGACGGGAATGCCGTCAGGGATAAACATCCCTGACGGCATGCTGACGGCGTATCCTTGACGGGAAGCCGTCAAGGATACGTATCCCTGACGGGAAATTTGGCATCCCTGGCAGGAAAGCCCGTCAAGGATGCCCATTTTTCTACTAGTGTAGGCCTCTTGTAGTTGTACATCTATTGTTGCGAGTAGGACCCCTAAATGAATTTTTAAGGGTTAATTTTAGAAAACCTCTCTCAACTATTTTAACTCTAGAAAACCCTCCTCAATTATGGAATTGTCATAGATAACCTCTGCAACCTCCACCCAACTTTCAAAATATGATTTATCCGCCCTCTACTTTTCTCAGTTAACCCCATGAACTAATATAATTAAAATCTAAAGGGACAATTTTTTTAAAATGACCATACTACCGGTAAGACATTAAAAGTTTCAACGTAGTGTTCATTTTTAACTCCTATGGTTAAAAATAACTTTCATTTTATTCCCCCCTCGCTTCGTGTTCCTCCATCTTCATTGTTAGGTTCACATGCAAATCTAACATTCTTCTTTCTTTTTTGAAATACTAAATTTCTTTTATTTTATGCTTATCCATGCTTGTAATGTTTGAAATAGTTAAAGCTTCTGATTTTTTTTTTGAAGCTCAGTTTCCTCATTAAAGTCCATCGAATTAAAGTCTAATATTTTGATTGGGTTGGGTTTTAAACTCACATGAATTTTTTTTCAACCAAACATATTTTAATCATTGCATACTTTTAAGTTAATAATAGGGGGTTATTTGAAAAACTAGAAAGAAAATGGGGTTTTGTGAGACACCCCATAGTTGGGGGTGGGGGGGGGGGTAGTCATACTATGAAAGTTGAGGGGTTTTATCACAAAGCCTTCTATAAAGTTAAAATAATTAATGGGGGTTTTATGAGACAAGCCCCATAATTGGGTGGGGTGGGGTGGGGGGGTTAAAATTAACCCTTTTTTAACTCTCAAAATCTTTGAAAACATTTGAGGCGGATAGACCCCCAATAGTTTTGTTGGTGAAAATAGACACCTAATTACTTTTTCTCTTCCCTTTTTTTGGACCTTTTGTAAAGAGTCCAAAAAGTTCATTAGCAGGTGTATTCGAACTTGAGCCAATACTAAAGGGGCTTTATTCACAACAAATAGAACTACATAAGGTCTATTCTCAATTAGGTGATAGTACAGGGGATCCATTTGCAGTTAACGCTAGATTCTTATGAACACGTACAAAAAACCTAATACCAATTAGATCCAAGTTCAATATATACATAATAATGGTTTATTCACAATAAATAGAACTACAGGGGGTCTATTTGCAATTGGGTGATGCTACAGGCAGTTCGTTCGCAATTAACCTAAATTCTTAGGAATTCATACCAAAAACCTAAGACCAATTAAATCCGGGTTCAATATGTACAAATTAATTATGTCTTAGAATACTGTTGAGGTACGAATCAAGATTATTACAGTTTGGTTGACAAATTCTAGGCAAAAGGATGATGTAAGGAACTGACCTATAAAGCTCTTTCAAAACAATATAGGAGAGAAATCCTTGGCCTAACATAGGAACCAAAAAGTTAAAGGAGAGATTTGAATAACTATAAAAAAACCGTCCAAAGGACAAATTTTCAAAATCAACCAATTCGAGAATTAAATAGCAAAATCGACCTATTTGAACTTTAATCAGCAAAACCGACCCTTTTCTTCTGAAAAGGGTCGGTTTTGCTGTTGAAAGATTTTTACGACATACACGGGACTGCTAGTCCCGTGTATTTCGTGGCAGTTTCGAATAACGCCGACCACCGCCGCCGCCGACCAAGCGCACTCCGACCGCCATCGCCGACCAAGGTAAATGTGGTTTTTTTTTAATTTTGATTAGCCATGAAATTTCGGATTTGGGAATGGATTTGGGTTGAGATTTGGGAATTATGAGATTTGGGAATGGATTTAATTGAGATTTGGGATTAAGGTTGAAATTTGGGAATGTATTTAGTTGATATTAGGGAATTAGGGTTTAGTCATGAATAATGTGATTAGGGTTTAGACATGAATAATGTGATTTGATATTATGGTTTAACCATAATTAGGGTTTAGACATGAATAATGTGATTTGAGATTAGGGAATTTAGCAATTATTTTCTTTGTAGTTGAGATTAGGGTTTTAAATTTGACTTTAAATTAAGATTAATATTTACAGTTATAATAGATTATTTACATATGATGGACTGTTGGTTTTCAATTTCGATGGCAAACTCTATACCCATTATTTGCTTCTTCAATGGGAGCCTCGGCGTCGGATTGAATAGTATGCTGATGTATGAGGGAGGTTCTAGGAAAATGTTTATGCTATCCAAGTCATTAAATTTTGATGGAATGATGAATGAAATACACAAAGTTACGAAAATTAATAAAGCATGTTATGCAATTAAAGTGTTCTTCAATTGTCCGGTAAATGAGAGTAGAACTATTGCTGTGGCGATTACCGACGATGAGGAATTGAATGACATGAAACAATTAGTGGAGAAGCAAGTGTCAGTTGAGTTGTTCATTGAGAAGTATCCGATTCAAGAATTTGCCCAAGCTTCACGACCACAAGGAGAGTTTTCTCGGATGATGGACTTAGACAATGAGTCGAGTGGTTTTATGACATCTCCAAGTCAAGAGCCGTGGTGTCGTATTTTTTCAGGAACTTGCCGTTTATCGGCATCATAAGCCGGTCGCCGTCCTTGGTGACAAGGCGATATGCGCCACTCGAGTAGACTGTCTCCACTACGAATGGTCCTTCCCATTTGGGTTCAAATTTACCCTTCTTCTTGGAGTTAAGGACCATGGCCGTCTTACAGCTAGAACCAGATCTCCTTCCTTGAAGCTTCTCCGTCGAACCTTTTTGTCGAAGGCTCGAGAAATTCTAGCTTGGTAAAACTCAATTTGCTGTTGAGCTTCCAGGCGCTCTTCATCGAGCCTCTCGAGTTCTTCGAGGCGTTTCTGATGTTGTTCTTCGGTCGTCATCTGGGTTGCAAGAGCGATCCGAAGAGACGGGATTTGAATCTCCAATGGAAGAACAGCTTCACATCCGTATACCAGTGAATACGGGGTCGCTCCCGTTGGTGTGCGCACCGTGGTCCGATAGGCCCATAGAGCCGCGCCAAGCTTGTCATCCCAGTCTCGTTTGTTAGTTTTCACGATCTTTGACAAGAGTTTGATGATAGTCTTGTTGAAGGCTTCAGCTAATCCATTCGCTGTAGGATTATAAGCCGTCGACGAGATATCCTGAATTTTAAACTTTTCGCAGAACCTTATGAAGGCGTTGCTGACAAACTGAGGACCGTTGTCATGTATGATTCGTCTTGGAACACCATACCTATAGATGATGTGGTGCTTGATGAATCCAATGACGTTGCTCGTCTTAACTTCTCTGAGTGGAATTGCTTCGGCCCATTTAGAGAAGTAATCGGTAATTGCCAAAATGAACCGGTTTTATAGGGCCAACAATGTCCATTCCCCAAGTCTCGAACGGCCATGACGTAACCGAAGGATGCAGATGCTCCGGAGGTTGGTGCACATAATTCCCGTGTATTTGACATGCATTACACTTTCGGGCATATGCATTTGCATCACTCATCATGGAAGGCCAAAAATACCCCATTCTTCTGATGCGATCGTAAAGCTTGGGACCAGGTTGGTGTGCGCCACACTCTCCTTCATGCGCCTCCCTAAGGACCTCTTCAGCTTCTTTGGTTGATAGGCAACGCAATAGCAACCCATCGTACCCCCTGCGGTATAGCGTTCGATTCTCCGTATTATAGTAGAATCTTGGTGCTCTTCGCCGGATCGACTCTCTTTCTTTCACATCTTCCGATCTGTACGAATTAGGGGAACCATGGATCAAGGACGAGAAGGAATTGTCAAGCATAAAAAATGTAGTCTTTGCAAACAACCGGGACATACTCGACCTCGTTGTCCAGCTAGACTCAATAGATAGCAATTAATTGGTAATAATTGACATATTCAAATTGTGATTTATTTTAATGTAGACAATATAATTAGTCGTGGATCGGTTATTGATATGTTATAATTGTATGTGCAGGTATATACACCATGCAGCCTGGACCGGTTAGTGATGAGGTCCTATATGACCAGCCTCGACACCGTTCACATGTTATATCCTTGACAGAGGTAACTAAGTTTCTTATAATTTCAATATTGCATTCTTATAATATTGTATTCTTATATATTCATTTGCTTTACAGAGAGGCCCGGATATTGTTATGGTTGATCATAGCCTCAGCCATAGCCGTTGGCATCTAGAGGATGAGCGCATAATAGCAGCTGTAGGACGGGCCGGCTTCTTGACATGTTCAAAGCTTCGTTGGATGAGGCTCGATTGGCCCCTACTCACCGCTTTGATAGATAGGTGGAGGCCGGAGACCAACACTTTCCACTTCCGAATGGGAGAGTCTACTATTACGCTACAGGATGTAGCTATGATACTTGGTCTCCGCATAGATGGTCCGTGCGTTACCGGCAGTGATAGACATTTTTGGCCGGACAAGTGTGAGGAGTTGTTAGGTGTAGCTCCAGAGTCAATGCCTGGAGGAAATATTAAATTGAAGTGGCTAAAAAATACATTCTCGGTACCGTTGCCTTTTGATGCGCCGCAAATATTGATTGAGCAACATGCACGTGCATACATTATGCACATGATCGGTTCAATATTATTTCCAGATTCGAGTAAAGATAAAGTGCATGCCAGGTATCATTTTTATCAGTATTTACAATTATGTCTGTTGATTTAGCTTATTTTGATAACTTGAAATGTTGTGAAAATGCTAGGTGGTTACCACTTATCGGGGACTTGGACACATGTGGTGCGTTATCGTGGGGTAGTGCGGTTTTGGCGTACCTATATAGAGAGATGTCTAAGGTTGCATTCATGAAAAATAGTGACCTCAAAGGGTGTCTCAGCTTACTGCAAGTATGGGCATGGGAGAGGCTGCATTTGAAGCCGAGACTATGCGTGAATTTACAATTAGACGGACAAATTCCACTACTATGCATGAATTTACAATTAGACGGACAAATTCCACTAGGATGCAGGTATTATATTTTTTAACGTAGTAAATATAATTGTAGTTATTCATTTGGTACTGAATTTTGAAACTAACACAGATGGAATGTCCAAAAATGTTTTGACGAGACCCCGGCGAGACAGTTAGATTTCTACCGAAATGAGCTTGACCGCATGAAGATTTTTCAGGTATCATTTCTATAAAAACGAGTTTTTTCTTCTATATATCAACTTTCGTTTTAATGATATGCAACAATTATATGTAATACTCTGTAGATGGAATGGGAGCCCTACACCCCATTTCTCGATCATCTACCCCCGATATGCACAGAATACCCAGTTATATGGAGAGCCAGAGTTCCTCTAATATGTTTCGAGATAGTAGAAATGCATGTACCGGACCGCGTGCTTCGACAATTTGGTCTTGCACAACATGTTCCACAACTTGTTGAAAAAATAAAGAGGAAGGCGAAGAAAGGAGGCCATCAAAAGGACTGGGCAGCTGAGCATGAAAATTATATACACAGATGGAATGATAGACATTTTTGTATTGTTGAGCAAATCGAGCCAACTCCCCAGGAATCAGATTACTACACTTGGTATTGGAGGATAACTAGAAGATGGATACTCCATGCGACCACATCCCCGGTTGAGTTGCAAAGAGGATATGTGCCTCGGGGTATAGATGAGAGAGAATTAGTAAGTATTTTTAAATTTATTTTAAGTTTATTTTTATTAGAATTTTTCAATATTGCTAAATTATGTTTTTTTAAAAATTTTGAGGGACGAGAAGTAGCGCAATTAGTATACACACGTCAACAACGACACAGACGAGGACGACGCAGAAACGACAATGAAGCTGGGCCTTCCCAACGTGCTGACGATGGAGCTGGGCCGTCACAACCACAAACGCAACCGGATCATGAACTCATCGAAGGTCGGGATAGAGGAGGCCGAAGACAAAGGAGGAGGAGAAGAGTTCTTGGATGTATGTAAGCTAATCGGTATTGTTATATAAATTACAATCCTATTTTGATATGTACATTACAAACGTATTTCGGGACAATAGATGGTTTTTGGATTTGTAGCTGAGATTGTGGTGTGACTTATCAGATTCGTAAGTGGGTTTGTGGCGTGATTTGTTGGATTTGGATTCGTAAGTTTGTGGCGTGATTTGTTGGATTTGGATTCGTAAGTTTGTGGTGTATTTTATGATTTTTAGATTTGATATGTGTTTATACAGGGAATTGACATGAGTTTGTACAGGGAATTGATATATGTGTTTATGCAATGGTGTAATTTATGATTGTTGCATTTGAAATATGAGTTTGTACAGGGAATTATCTCGTAGCAGAAGTGTATGGTGAATGTGCAGGAAATGCACGGGACTGCTAGTCCCGTGCATTTCATTGCGCCCAGGATATGCACGGGACTAGCAGTCCCGTGCTCTTGTTTTGTTGCGCAGACAGAAGGCTCTGTAAAATGCACGGGACTGCTAGTATTTATTTACAACCTGACAGAACAACGCAGCAGGCAAGACAAAATAAATATTTTCAAGAGAGCAGAAACAAAGAAACATGTATACCTGCATAATACATTGCTTTAAATACTTATCAGAATGGATGGGAGGGAAAGAAAGCACCTTCCAGGTCAATGACCAAATGGAATTGCCATTTGCCACATACATAGAGAACAAGATTAACGACCGGAGAACCAAACAGAAGCCATGGACATCAGTCGTCTCTGCACCTCATATCGCTTGTGTCACGAACTTTGGTTTGCTTTACAAACTCTCTCATTCGTCTCAACCATTCTGCAGAGAAAAGCCGGATACACCTAGTCCAGAGGGCAAATCTTATGATGCTGTCAATAGAGAATCATAGAAGTCTTGGCAGGTATTAGAAGAAAAGGGGACAGCTTCTTAAAAAAAAAACTCAAAGCACTGACTAATCAT